GGGGGGCGGGCGGAGAGACAGCCGGTGTCCCGTTCTGGTTGGGCCTGGCGTGGAACATCCGAGTGGGCCGACCAAGGTGACCCCGCCCTCCCCTCTGGGCCTGGCCGAACTCCCGGCTAACTCTTCACGGGGTCTGGCCGTCGGGGCTCTAACCTGGGCTGGGGGGCGGGCGGAGAGACAGCCGGTGTCCCGTTCTGGTTGGGCCTGGCGTGGAACATCCGAGTGGGCCGACCAAGGTGACCCCGCCCTCCCCTCTGGGCCTGGCCGAACTCCCGGCTAACTCTTCACGGGGTCTGGCCGTCGGGGCTCTAACCTGGGCTTTGGGTCCCCACGTTGAGGCAGCCGCGTGTCAGGGCAAGAGGAGTCCCCGTCCTGCGCCAGGACGAGCCGCCCTTTGCCTCTCTGAGCCCCAAGCCCCACGTCTGAAGAGTGGCGACCCGGTATTCTCTTCTTCACCAGGCCTGTGCTGTTCTGCGACTTCCCAGCCTGCAAAAGAGGCCTTCCGCTCTGTAAGCCAGGGGTCCCCAACATGGCGCCCACGAAGTGTTTTCTAAAAGCAGCCTTTGCCCAGCATGGCCAACGGAGGTTGGACGGGCTGTGCGGATTTTATAAAAACGTGGCCTCGGCAGCTGCTGCCACCACAACACAAGTATCTCCACTGGGTGGCTGAAGGGAAGTTGCGGCAGCCATTCGGTGTCTGACACCTCCCGTGGCGGCCATTTTGTGGCTGCGGCCACCAAATTGTGTCAGAGAAGCTCAGATGGGCCCATGGACTCGAAAAGGCTGGGGACCCCTCTTGTAAGCCATGAACCTGGTATTTTTGGCCACTGTATGACCATTTGGTCAGAATTAAGACATTGAATCCTATTGATTTCAGTGTAACATTTCAGTGTGTGCTTATGTTTCCTACTGAAATCAGTGAAAACGGCTTCACTTTTGACATGTGCTGTTTGCTTGTTTTTTCCTTCTGATTGTTAAATGTTTAAATTAAAGCATTTTATGTTTCTTAAAGCTTTTTGTTATTTTTGCACTGGAAGGAGGCCTGAAAGCCTAGAGGTAATGTAAAATGGGGGAAAGGTGGGGCAAGAATTGATATATGACACTGAATTTAAATTTTATTTTTTGAAAGAAGGTTACTTCAGAGGGAAAGGCGGGTTTGGGGGAGTGCCTGGAAAGTGACATCACAGGAAGAGGTGAGGTTTTGATGCAGTATACTTGAAGTGACATCATGGAAGGTGAAGTGACATCACCTGCCATTTGACCTAGAAGGGACATCACAGGAAGTGACATCACAAAAGTCTCCTGGCTCCGCCCCCAAAGTCTCCTGGCTCCGCCCCCAAAGTCCTCAGATATTTCCGAATTTGGACTTGGCAACCCTACCAACATGGCGCCCACGAAGTGTTTTCTAAAAGCGGCCTTTGCCCAGTATGGCCAACGGAGGTTGGATGGGCTGTGCGGATTTTATACAAACATGGCTTACGCAGCCGCCACCACCAGAACACAAGTATCTTCACTGGGTGGCTGAAGGGAAGTTGCGGCAGCCATTTGGTGTCTGACGCCTCCCGTGGCAGCCATTTTGTGGCTGCGGCCACCAAGCTGTGTCAGAGAAGCCCAGATGGGCCCATGGACTCAAAAAGGCTGGGGACCCCTCTTGTAAGCCATATCAACGCCCCAGCCTAATCCAGTAGTGCCAGGCAGGGGGAGGTGTCAGGTAGCCCTGTCATGGATCTGGAATGTGGAGGGGTTTTCCTTCTCCTCATTCTCAGCTCTTCCGTGTCTAGCTACTGTGCACTATCTCAGGCTTGACCTTCTAGTCTCCAGCAGGGGTCGTTTCGTAGAAAAAGAGCTAGGGGAACTCATTAGCATAACTCATTAGCATATGCCACACCCCCTGACATCAGGGGCCTGGCGGTGGACCTGCAAGGCTGGCGGGAGTGCGAGGAAGCCCCGCCAAGAACCTCCCTGGCCCCAGGCAGGAAGGGGTGGGGAGAGGCAGGGAGGAAGCAACTTACCCTCCCTCTTCTCCTGCCTCCTCCTGGCTGAATGAGGGCTGGAAGCAGGGGGCGGGGCTTCGTCATGTGCCCCACCCCCCGTACCTCACCCGGGGGAACTGCGATCCCCCACGATCCCCCTCGAAATGACCTCTGGTCTCCAGCTGTATTTTACTCGGCTGGGAAAGTAACGACTTTTCGCTCTGCCCGCTTGCTTTTGCCCACGCACACGAATTATTATCATTGGCTTCCACTCATTGGGGGGGATGTTTGATTTCACTATAAGTTAGATGCCTTTATCCTGACGGCTATTTCTGACACAAGCTGTACACGTGTTCTTTAGTTCTGGACCCACTAATAAACAGTTAGCTTCTTCTGAAGCCCTGTGTGGTGTGACCTGCCTAAGGAGCCTGACAGGAGGGCAGATTAGCTGAGACTGGAGTATCCAGATCTCTGACTATATCAGGGGTGATTTCCTGTGGGAGCGCACAGGAGCGGAGCTCCGGCAGTAAAGAGCCCAGGGGGCGGACACGTGCAACAAGCCCGACCCCCTGCTCCCAGCAGCCCCGGGCCATGAGGAGCAAGAAGCAGCCAGGTAAGGTGCAGTGGGTGTTGCCTTCTGACACACTTCCGGTGAAATCAGGGGGTGTGGCATATGCAAATAAGTTATGCTAATGAGTTATGCTAATGAGCTCCTGCGCCTCTTTTTCTACAAAATGACCCCTGGACTATATAAATTGGGGTTTGGTGTGTGTGTGTGGGGTGTTCTGTTTTTTGCCCTCCAAAATGGAGTCCACAGGTGAGGGGGCTAAAACCTCCACTGCCCCAGACGTTTTAACCAACTGCTCAGTTGTGAAGCATCTTTATTCACTTCTAGTAGCATTACTGTCCGGAAAGAAAACCACTTGAAGCAGCAGAAAAGAGCCAGAATCCAGGATCAACTTCAAGAGGAACAAAATTGGTGGCAGGGGTAGAGATGTAAAATTTCTGGAAATTTTGAAGCTCGGGAAAAAACCTGCTGTTTTTTTCTGTTTTTTGTGTGTGGAAAAAAACAGAAATCTTTGGAAAATTTGAAAAAAATGCTACATTTACACTTTTTTTTTTCTTCTTTTTTCTTCCAGATTGAAAGTCATTCTGTTATTTTAGGAACATAAAATATGACTGGACATTTTTACTTGGCATGAAATTATCACAACTAGCCTATTAAAAATATAGTGTATCCAAACAATTATTACAAACAGAATACCCGCCCAACCTGCAAAAAGAAAACTGAAACCTTTTTCTTTTCTTGTGACAATAGCACCTCCTAAAGGAAGAAATGCATCTTGTTCTTGCATTGGAGAGTTCCGTTTGTAACCTAGGACTTGCTTGTCCCCAGTGCACAGAAATTAGATCAATCTGATACCATACATATATATATTTTAGAAATGATTTGGGAAATATTTGAACACCTTGTCTTAAAATATTTTATTCATTATGTTAAAATAAAATGTTCCATAATCATTTTTTCCCCCTTTTCTTTTTTCAATTTTTCGGAAAAAAACAAAAAAGGTTTCAGGAAAAAAACGGAGGGAAATTTTTTTTTTCTGAATTTTTCCAGTTTTTTTCCGGACCTTCACCACTCTAGGCAGGGGAGGAGCTTTGTTGAGTTACTGCTCACTACCATAGGTACCCAAAGAAGTGAGCTGTGTGACTCCCGAACCCCCCCCCCCGCCACCAATTCTGTTCGCCTTGAAGGAGCTCCTGGACTCTAGCTCTTTTCTGCTGCTGCAGACAGACTAACAAGGTGATCCATCTCAATCTATCTCGAATGGAAGCGAGGGAGAGCCAGTTTGGTGTAGTGGTTAAGTGCACGGACTCTAATCTGGGAGAACCGGGTCTGATTCCCCACTCCTCCGCTTGCACCTGGCTGGATGACCTTGGGCAAGCCGTAGTTCTGACAAGAGCTGTCCTTGAAAAAGAGCAGTTTCTGTCAGAGCTCTCCAATCTCTTCTTCTTCTAGTCCACCATCCCATCTCACACAGTGGCCAGCCAGTCCCCCTAGAGGGGGATCCCCCTCGCTCAAAATAAGAGGGGGTGAACCCCCTGCTGTTCCTGCCCCTGGCTGCCTTTGACCACCCCTCAGCCACCTCTCTTGACTTAGAATCGTAGCGTTGAAAGAAGAAGAAGAAGAAGAGATTGGATT